GGAATATGGTTTACTATTGACACATGAAGATTTGAGACGATTGCGATCGAGCTGGCGTGGCTCGACGAACAATTTTGAGAACTTCGGTTCGGTCTATTTCACACAACACTTTATGTAACTTTGTCCGGTTTTCGTGGATAAGAAACTATCTGCTGGGATACTATTGTCACGGAAGTTCTTCTTTTCTTTGACTTCACAAAGGACTACTTATGACAGTCCACGTGCGATCTTTGATCAGCCATTTAAACTAACCTAACCTACTCTTTTCTATCAGCATTACCAACTCTATATATGGTCATATCTGGAAACTATTTGCCAACCTCCAAATATATTGTTGCAATGCTCGAATTTACCAATAACTATTCTGCTCAATCCTTTCTTAGAGGTTAAAATGTGTGTTGTGTGTAAATTGTGGCATATTGTACTTGATGTCGGATTATTCGGCGTGACTCATCTTCATTAAGCTTTCTTTACGGTGTTTGTACAAAAATGTGAACCAATCTCTATTTTACTCGATAACTTCGGAATATCTCCCTCCTTAGTCTGCTCTGCATCAGCATGCTACCACAGAAGGGTCGACCTCATTGGTATACTGACCGCACATGCAGACGCATTGAAAAACGGTAACTGTATGTAAACTCAATAAATAATCATTTCCAGTCCATTATTGAAGTCTAAGGTGTCGTTTATGTACTAATAAGTTTTGGAGTTCGAGTATTAGCCTGTGTTAATCGTAATTGTATATAGTCCAAGTTGTGCCAGGAATTATTTCCGCCAAGCGGCTGGTTGAACACTGGCGCATGTGCCGACAGCAAGCCTATTACCTCTATCGCTCACACCCTTAACTGACTGTGTCAGCTCGAGACATCATATGTGGTTTGGGTAGCAAACTGAGGAAATGAAGAGAAATTGGAAAATGGCAGAACAGACGAAGTATGATAATTACTTTTGCATACAATTAGATTGTTTGGTCTCAAACCCAACACGACACATACATATGTCGCACTGGCCAACCAGAGAGGTCAGTCTCTAGTAGTGCCAAGCGAACAAATACGAAGTTAATAGCTTTTTATCTCGTTCCGAAACAAGGCTGTTGATTTGCTGCTTTGACACTTTGTTGCAGTGCGGTGGCGCAAGTGTCCATGCTCTTGCAGGTGCCGACTTTAGTAGCTGCTCAACGAGCGGCAGATCTAATTTTGCAACGAGCTACCTTCCCATTGTCCAACTACTTTTTAAATCAGTGAAAAAACCTCGTACACCAACCCTTCTGGTCACTTTCGCCTTCGGTGAAGAGTTAATGCAATAATGGAAGCCAGCTGCTGACGACCATGTCTGGTGGGGCCTAAAACAGAGCAATGGTGTGGAACTGAGCGATAAACTTATGTGTGTTTGTTTGTATATGTGTATATGTATCTTTGTGATGATCAGTGGGAAGCTGCTGGTGGCGGCTGCAATAACAAGCGCTGCAGCTAGAACCCTGTGCAAACAACCTCAGCTGCTAATGAAGTTCCCGAGACGCAGACCAAGTATCCTTGCATTTGTGTATCCAAATAGTTGCGTATGTTTGCTGCCAGCTCGTGTCAATGCGTCTTTAAGCATGCAAGCGGGTGTGTGCTTAATGTGGTAATGATAGCCTTGGGTTACAACATCAGCAAACATATCATCACTTTAGTCGCTCGTTTGTTCGACAGGCGGTCGGTTGGGCAGTCTATAAAATGCACCAACAACAACAACTGTTATGCAAAGCATTAGTGTCGTATATGATGCGTAGAACTACATATGTACTATATGTTTATACATTGGGGTGGCTAATTTTGTTTGGAAGATTTTTTGCGCCTTTGTTTTAACTCAATTCTTATTTTAATCACACCATAGTGAAAATGTTACATTTTCATTGCGGTTACATAAATCTTGACTCGACTCTTCAATGCTTTAGTAATCCCTGATTATATCACGTCACTCAGCATCCCCGCCCTGCTATATGGTGGAGAGGCATCGTTTTTATAATTTGGATTGCAAAAATTCATGAAAATACTTTAAAGGACCACCCTATTGATTATCGTACTCATCGATTGCGTAGCCATGCACTCAGCTGTGCACAAATATTGTGGCTATGTTTGCTTGTCTGGCAGCTGTTTGTCGCCGCCCTAATCGGCTTGAGCTTCAAACATTCACCACAATATGTATCAATTGGTTGTTCAGCTTACCGACGCATTGATTGCCAGCCGACACACAGACTCACGCACCCACACACACATACATATGCATATGTTTCGCCACGCTGCCCTGCCATGCACTGTTATTAATTGGTCCTCATCTATGTCTGGGTCATTTATTGTGCCTTCCGCTTGTTGCCCCACTGTCGGCTGCTGGCTACTATCTGCCGCCTGTTGTCAACTCTTTGGACGATTGTTTACTTGCTTGTTGCTCAAACTGTAAATAACTGTACGCACACATACAAACTTATGCGTGCATGAAGTGTTTGCTCTTTTTCTGCTCAAAGGGTATACATATGAATGAAAATAGCTTGTGGTTGCTAAGCTTTTTTTGCTCCGACGCACTTCTTCACGCAAAAAGCAACAATAATAAAAAACAATTACTTGGTTGCTCAGTCACGTTGGCATAGTAAGTGAGGTCAAGCGGTTATCTCGACAGTTCTAATCGACTCTTGTGACACACTTAAGTATTTCAATTACATACATATACATATTTCGAACCAGTCCAATTCGGTAGGAAAATACCTCAAGAGTCATTTATTTCTTTGATTATCATTCATTTAAACAAATAAAATTATACGTACTTATAAATATAAAAAATATATTAATCATTAAAATTTGTRAATATTTGAAGTCAACTTTGKTATTACTCGATGACACTCACAGCAGTGCTATACATATATAAAAAGGTGAATATTTTTCAGTATAAGCTGTTGATATTTTGGAAAAATCTACGAAATGAAAATATTCAGATTACAGTAAGAAAATTGAGCAGTTGATGGCAGTGAAGAAAATAGAAAGAGCAAAACCCCAGTTGGACTAGAGAACAAAAATGTTATTATAAAACCGAAATCCTCTTTCGACAGACCAAAATGAAAGCACCGATTCCCTTGCCTCCATGGAGGTTTCTTATTGGCTCATCACGACTCGTCCTTTTTTGTTTTATGCGCCGTAATATTACACGAAAAAAACACAAGTTTAGTAAATTTCTCTGGAATGCGCGTTTTGAACTAAAAACAAGAAAAAACGTTAACTTCGGTTGCACCGAAGCTAAATACCCTTCACAGGTGCATTTATGTTAGCAACTATATGTTCAGTTTGTATGGAAGCTATATGCTATAGTTAACCGATTATTATAATTTCTTCGGAGATTACATTGTTGCCTTGGAAAATTATCTATACCAAATTTCGTGAATATGTCTTGTCAAATGTGAAAGTTTTCCATACAAGAACTTGATTCCGATCGTTCAGTTTATATGACAGCTATATGTTATAGTGGTCCGATATGGGCAGTTCCGACAAATGAGTAGCTTCTTGAAGAGGAGGAAGAAAATGGTGTTTGCAAAATTTCAAAACGACATCTTAAAAACTGAGGGACTASTTCGTATTTATACAGGCTAAATCGAATCAGCTYAACATACTGATCATWWATATATAYACTTTATAGGGTCTYCGACGCTTTCTTCTGGGTGTTACAAACTTCGTRACAAAATTAATATACCCTGTTCAGGGTATAATTACTTTATATGAAGCTTATCATTGTAACTAGCATAAAAAATATCAAACGGTGATCTATTTCGAGGTTTCCTTTTTTTTTTTTTTAAAGAAAAAACACAGAAACTTCAAATTAGAAGGAAATTGTATATTTATAGTCGAAAGAACTTTTCTTGGCAATTATTTTTTGAAGATTATCTCGTTCAAATGTTGGCCGGGCTACATCTCAAACGGTCCATCTTTTACGATACACATTTAGATGACTYGTTCGAGCATTTCGACTGGTAACTGGCGAATGACGCTTATGTTTTGCACCAAGGCCTCAATCGCAGCGGMATTGTACACATAGACTTTAGACTTTACATTTACCCACAGGAAATGAGCGAAGCTACGGCTTCTGTATTTTCCTCACTGCGTRCGGGACTTGGTCTATTCGGTCGAATATTATCCATTAATGAAGGCTTGGTCTCAAGATAATAATTTTGTTGAGCATAAATTGATTCACTCGTGATCGGTTAAAAGAAGTCTATGGGAAATAGTAATTTGAGCAAAGATCATTCCTGTTGTGGGCAGAGTATCGAAGAAGACCGCAGTAAGTCCACCCTATATCAGCTGGAGCTGTGTCCTTATGGATCTTTGCTGGCTTACAAAATCCAATTAGTTTAAGAATTGAGGCCGAGCAACCATTTAGTGGTTAGACGTTCGGTGAATGGACCCAAAACGAGGTGGTCACCGATTCCGATTCTAATAAGAAAAATAGTTTAAAGTTGAAGCTCACTTTTGGTTAACTACAACTGAAAAAGTCACTGTTTGGTATGAGCAGAAAGAATCATTGTCCCATATTTCTTCAAAAATGAAGCCAACATTATGTTATAGTTTATGGGGAACTATAGAGCCATGATTAATGACTTCTTCATGCTTTAATTGGATAATGATATCCACATCAACGACAATAATCAATTTATTGAAGATAATTTTTGGCGAGTCCATAATCTCACCACKTAGGGCAGTAGGTATGGCCGTAAAAAGCGAGCAATTTTATAAAATGTTTTTTTGGGGTTATGTGAAGTCGCTTGGCTATGACCATAAGCTCGAGACGACTGATTGACGCAATTCACCGCGATATTGCTGCAAATATTGGTCCAAAATTGGGCCTCACGATTAGAGTTTATTCGAGCTAGTCATCTAATGCCTTTACATATATATACTTCAACTATTTTGCGATCCACTAACTCCGACCAGACATGTAGAATCAGTCACATTGGTAAAACCACGAACTATAATTTTTTTTATCATATACGATACTTTATTTGAACAGTACTTACTTCAACTATAATTCTAAAACATATAATTAAATTTATTTTATATGCTAACTAGAATATAACGCACTTTTCCTTCATCGTATGCTCGACACCACATTCAAATGCATTTCCAAATTCATTTAAATTCGCCACAGCACCATTTACACGCAACGCTTCCGGTAAGTCCACGAACTCGGGCACTTCGTCGGCATAATCCACACAGAAGAACTGCGCATAAGCGAGGAAGAACTGCTGCCTATGTTTATTTGGCAAACGTGGTAAGACGCCGATGTCTTGCTCACTTTTACCTTGCGTCCACTTTTCATACAAGCGATAGGCTAAAGAAAGACCACCGTTATCTGCGAAGGCCTTCTTCAGGCGTTCGCGATCATTCACAGTTTTGCCKTCAAACTCTTTCGCTGAATAATACGACTGATCAGCTAAACAGCTGGAACGTTTGACAAAAGTCAATTCGGAGGCAATATCCCACACTTTTTGTTGCTCAGCTTCGCTGTCGTTCTCGCTAAGGCCACGTACAATTTGTTGCGCCAAAACGAAACCGAAAGTATCCCAAAAGAAGCGTGGCTGCAGGAAGACCACTGGGAATTGTATGGTATTTGTTTGTGTATTGTAAGTGGGCAGTAACTTCAGCGTATAAGATGGGTTGCTTTGCGGTACATGCAGTAGCGCGGCGGCCTGATGTAGCTTGAGTAAYTGCTTTTCATTTTGCCACTCCAACAAATTGATGATGTTATTGTAGTATTGATCGGGATACATGTTGGAGGGCTTGATGCCACCTTGAAAGAAACCGATATGCTCCTGCGGTTGCAAGACCTCTATGCGCATTGCTCGCAGTTTCTCGCGTAAGTTCTGCAATGTCTTTGGCGATATCCAACTAAAGCGTGGCGAGGTTTGCAGCTCGCTATTTAGGTTATATTTGATAGTGTGGAACATTGTCTGCAGCTCTTGRAATAGTTCGGTATCTTCGTAATTGCGATTGTAGAAATACTCCATTTCGTGCGGGAAAAWGTCGATCAATTTATGCACACAAAACTCTTTGCTGCCGCCCAAGTCGAAACGGTCCAAAACCTTCCACAGCGTGTAATTGGCTAGCGTCAGTTTCGGTGTAAGCCGAATGATATCGACAAGATTTTTGAAATATCCCTTCGGCGTTTCGTAAACCTTCTCGTTAATCGAGCGATCGAACATCAGCTGYAGATAGCGGCTTAAATCCACAAAACTGCCGTAGGAGGCCTTCAGTTCAGCCACATAGCGTTCGAGTGGCGGCGCTTCCCGTGTGACATTATGCAATGCTTTGCCCAACTGTTCTTCCACTTGCTGCACCTGCGAGGCGAGCTCTTGCGCCCAAGCGTTACTCATCTCGGGAAAGAATCGCTGCAGCTTATTTTGTACGTGGCGCGCATAGTTGGCGTGTTTCTCCAACTCTAAAGCAGGCGCGCCTAGTTGTATGCGACTTTTGTCCRCATTCTGCAGATCCATCACTACGTCGAACGCTATGAAAACGTCCACATTGAATTTACGCTTTGCCAGCACAACAAGTTTGAGCCAATCATACTCGTCTTCGAACCAATCATTATCAGTTATTTGSGGCCAACCGATTTGAAAATTAAGTGCATCCCAAATGGGCGCATAACCCACRGTCTTAATGGTCTGCGTATCATGGCATGAGTCGAAAATTGTCTTCAGCAAATTGTTCAGGTATGTATCAGTCGCTGCTGCACCGTTGTTATTGCCACTCTCATTGTCAGGCTCCTGCAGCGCTGCGGCACATTTGCTCACATACAAATCCTCCAGTAGACCTACAAATGAGGTTTTGTTTCTTCCTGCCGTCGCAGGATGACTTAACGCCCATCGCCCACAGGCCCAGTTGTAGAAGTTGTCGCACGGATTTGCATTCTCGTTCATATATGCCGCCATTTGTATGCCTCGCGAGAGTTGCAGTGTTGCATTGTTGTATTGCGGCACTGTAGGCTTGGCTGCGGCGGGCTTCTGAGCAGCTTGTAGCAGCAGTAAAACCAATAATGGTTTATAAATTTTCCACATTTCTGATTTCGAAATATTATTCTATGACGCACTCTTTCGGAACTAGCATTCGGTTGTTGTTGACGCGGAAAAGTTTTGAGCTTGACTAAAGTGGAGTGGAGCGCGATGCGTGGTCTGAGCGAGTGCGTAGCATTTCAGATAAGCGTGCTTTCGTATGTATGTACCGGAACATATTTRTATGYATATATAATACATATATTGCTTATCAGTGTTTTGTTTTGTTTACTATTCTATTCGGAATCATATTCTGTTAAAATAAATATTTTTCGTACWTATGTATGTTCATATGTAAGAATTTATGATTTTGGGTCACTGCTTCCGATTGATGCCTTTCATAGATTTAATAGGCAGTAAAATATGAATACCTTCCATTAGATGAAAATTATGTACTTAACAACTACAGATACTTTTCGGATTTTTATTAAGAGCGTACCTGTGCTCAAAAAACCAAAACAAAAACAAAAAATTTCACTTTTGCGATTCAAATTTTACATACAATAATGTAATGCTACTAAGCTTCCATATATGGACTAGGCTTAGGAACCAGTGAGAAACATCAGATATTTGGAAATTCCGTTAAACGTCTAAATACAATGACAATAAGATATGGTTGATAAGATTTATACAATGATGCTATAATCGTAATCTGGGTCCTAAACTGATATTTGTAGTTGCGAACTGTTATGCTTAACGTTTTTCAATATTTCATGTGGTGAAGCATATGGAGCAAAACTAAAATGAAGCGAAGTTCAAGTGATATGATCATTGGCTATAAGCCAGCTAGTATAGAATGACTTTTTTTGAAGTAGGGAACCGATTGTCTTTCCATTATTCGAAGCTATGGGAAATGTGGTTTTACTTCGGCAATCAAAAAAGGATAAAAMCACGTTTGAAGGCATACCTGTTTGGTTACTTCTAGTTTTTTCTTTTTTTTTTTTGTTGCGATGTGTTTGTTTGCTTTGAGTCTTATCTGTGAGTGTGTTTGGCAGCTATATGCTACAATGGCCCGATTCAGATAATAYGTCCGCATATTAGACAAATTTTTGTGAAGATTTTCATTCACGAGCTTTAGTGTGATCGACCAATCATCTTAATGTGGAAAAGGAGTTGAGCGTAAAAATTTGGACTCATAATTCAAAAACTGGTATGCAGATAGTTAGACGAACATTGTTAAATCGACTCACCTCGTCACGCTGTTCATTTACATAAATATTTTRTAGGGTGTTCGACCTTTCCTTCTGGGTGTTACACATTTATATATACTTTTTTCGGAGTGTACTGTTTTTTCTGATGTTCGACAGAACCTTTGTCATATAGATAATACAGCATTCAAATTTTGCTCCTAAACGGCATTGACATACTCTCATACATATATAATGTATTATATATGAATACATATAGTCACAAAGGTTCAGTATTCGTAAAAATTGCAGGAGCTTCTTGGCCGCAATGGTGGTGATGTGATCCTTGTGCACTTAAATGGATACAAAAGTCTTGAGCTTGTTTCGAAAAATTGCTGGAGTTAACGGTTCCAGGTCACAAGCCGCCAGTTTGCGCAAGAGACTATACCCATGTTGAACAAGTGCYTCYTGAGCMTACAGTGMCCATATAGAGYGCGACAAGGASACGGAATTTGCTTTMRGAGAGGGTGATCATATATCTAAACCTCACTAGATTGTAACCTCCCAATAGTTTAGTTTCGGAAAACACCCCATTGTCATTGATATATGCGAYCCCTCAATGCCTGCTCCAACGCCTTTCGGTGTCGAGCCGAGCCGTCAGTGTATAACTGGTTAGTGCTGCCCCTCAATATTAGGTCGAGAGTAGACTTAYTGCTCGAAAACGTAAACAATACCCACTTAATTGAGTCTGCAGTSAATAATTTCCTGGTAGCTGAACAATGCGAGAAATCTGGTCTACGTACGACTATTGGTGGGATGTGGTCATCCTGAAGCTTCTCCGGGAAGTGAACAAGCAATAGTACCATTACCCTGTTCTCTGCGCTGTACTCAACCAAATTTTAGACACCGCCTAAACAGCGCTCATCTCCAGACAACACTACTCGAATTTTTGTGCAAAAATCTAAAGAGTTGGTTCTTTTTAACGGTCTCAAGTGCCTCATAAACATGACTCTTTATGTCCCTCATCTGCATTTCTGGTTACATAATATASAATGTTCAACCAACAAACAACTTCAGGGTTGCGGCAAAGTACAATGGGGACCCCACACGCATAGAAATGTGAACGTGAAATGAAAACGACGTAATGCCATGACGTCCAAGTGCAAGAACMAGCGGCAAGTAAAAGTATGCATTTAAGCAGCATCGTTAGGTGGCAAAGAACCTCAAGAAAGCGGCGAAGAACACAYGAGGAGCGGGCACGTGCCATAAATGTGCAAATTACTGTCTGCAACACTTTCGTACTTTGCCCGCACTTTGTGCATGTAGTCTTTCTTCTGCTGCTTCTCGAGCCGCGCTTTGACTGTCTGTTGCACAAATACGCATTTCATGCGCAACACACTTGCGGTTAATGCTCAACGCCARGTGTCGTCTTACGTTGTTTGTTGTACACTTGTGTTTTTGTCTTTATTTGTTTTAACGAAATGCACAAAAACAAAGCTCGCGACTTCACAGGCATATACGTAAGTACGTTGCATATGCATATAGTGGGATATTCTGTTGGTTAGGGTAGAGTAGCAGTTGGCAGCTTTAAAGCAAGCAAGTGTTTTATTTGCAGTCTTTGGTGAAATTTTTAGTGAAATTGTACCCACTTGTCTTCCTAAGTACGCCCCTGCTCTGGTCGCTCTTTTGCTTGCTGCTGAGGCTTTTAATAAGCGAAAGCAAAGCGATTCTCCCAGCTTTTCATCAATTCCATCTGGGCATATTGTCATTTTGACGCATTTAAGTGCAAAAATTCTACAACAAAAGCTATGAGCTCGGAATATCTAAACAGAAACAAGTTGTTTAACAAATTTGAGGATATTAAAGTGACTAAGAATTTTAAAGTTTCATTTTGAAAAGTGTAAGTGATCCAAGTAGAGGTTCTTTTTCAATACAATTTTGTTGACAGATCACCAGTGAGTCGTGTCTGAGCTGATATGTTATTCTGATTTAATATTGTTTGGCATTTCATGATGGAAAGACTTACGCCTGAATAACGTTTAMAAATCATTCAACTTTATAATGAAAATTCACATTGTTTGAGGTATATGCTTTGCGCTCTTCGCTGAACTTCTAATCGGCCTACTGAGCGTACTATTCGCAATACCCTTACCAATCTTGAGACCAAGAATTCATTATTGGATAATAAATATTTGACWGAATAGATCATAGATCCACGTCCAGCACGAAGTGAAGAAAATATAGCAGTCTTAGCTGAGAGTGTACACGAAGACCGTGAAAAGTCGATTCGGCGCCTTTTACGTAGAGATCTTAAATTGAAAATTACGAAATACAGCTTGTGCAAGAACTCAAGCCGTTCGACCTCCCAAGTGATATCTTTCGGCTTTTTGGGCTTTTGAATAGTTCCAAGATCATTCGCCGTTTGTGAGTCAAATTTTGTTCAGCGATGAGGCCCTTTTCTGGTTTAATGGCTATGTAAACAAGCAGAATTGCCACTTTCGGGACGAAGAGCAACTTGAAGATGTTCAAGAGTAGCCATTTCATCCAAAATAAACAACGGTTTGCTGTGGTTTGTGGGTCGGTGGACTCATCAGTTTATATTTCTTCAAAAATTGAAGCGCGGGATCTCGGCACACATCGCAACAATCAATGATTTTATTGAGAAAACACTTCGGTGAGCACTTCGGTCTCCTTGATAGTGTGAAATCGCTCAAGGAATTTACCAGCCACGGCCAAAATTTGAAAAAGATAATTTTCAAAAAATAAATAACAAAAAATGTTCTTTCGAATTATAGCAAACTTTCTATTTTAAATATAAAATTTCTGTGTTTATTTATAAAAAATTAGGGCTCCTCGACATGGATCACCTCTTAGTTTAATGGGAGGAGCAATTATTACAGACTTACGGCTTTAGCTCCCATCAAAGTTTTCTCGATATTTTACTAAATGTAGTAAGAAAAACGTTGGCTTATAACTTAGCTACCAGTAGAGCCCAACCACGAATTTCGAATAGTAGGTTAAGTTAATCTGCTAGATCAATGAGCCACACATAGACCAATTTTGGTTCTTTGTGATACCACATCTACATCTACATCACTGTTTCTAGGGGTAGTCATCTGTTGCCTGAATTGACGCGAATTTGAACAGACTCTGCGCACAAGAGATGCTCCTCTCTCTCTGGTCCCTTGCTGTAATCTTTTATTGCAGTCTTCTCTATCTATCAGCCCCGTCGTTTAGACAATGCATGGTTTTCCCAATGCTGATCACGTTTTCGGGTGTTAGGCGTACACCATTCTTGGCAGTCTTGTCATTGMCCCCGAAGGCTTTGTAGCTTGGCACATAGAAGAAGTGAACTTGCCTGCTTCTGGCAACATTTACTATAACTGCGCAGCTTTCCAAGACACTTCTGGGCGATATGCGATTACGGTCTTGWTTGCTGCTTTGCTGTCTACATAGATGYTAACTCTGGAGTTGCCTGTAGGTGCATTAYTGGCCAGTTTWGCGGCTTTCGCAATAGCAAAGACCTCAGCTTAAAATAAGGTGCTAGCCGAATTCTGTAGACATATAGAAGATAAATGTCCAGGTTATCGGTAAATACGCAYGTGCCTACTCCGCAGTCCATTTTGGACCCGTCGGTATATACTGAGATGGTATCTTCCTTCCCTATTATGGCTCTTCTCCATTCTCGTCTATAGGGTATCCTCACCTGGAAGTATAGTATCTAATAAAATTGGGAGAATGTAGTCTGATTTATTAACGTTGAGTTGGCTTAGAATACCAATATGTAAATAGCTTTGCTAATTCCAACCACCCACTTCTTTATTCTTATTGCAGAACATGCTGCTACTTTGTGAATAAAGATGTCTACAGGTAGTTGATTAAGGATCATATTAAGCGTATCAGTCGGACATGACTTGATTGCACTAGTAACACCTACACATGCTTTG